ATTGACTTCAGCTCTCGGCTAGGACTGGTTCTGAGTCGCTGCAATATTTTATCTCCCTTTTTCCTTGTCTATTATTTCAGGAAAGATGTGTTCTAGTTCTCCGGACATGTTGGTAGAACAGTACGAAGCACAAGAATGTACACATTTGTCTGCGTAGTTGATTTACCTAACCAGCTGTCTTCAGTGTTTGTTGAGAAGTTGAATAATCAAGACAGTTCCCATTCCTTGAATTGTACCATTAGCACCAATTATATTCATAGAATTGCTTGTCAGTAAATTCTCGCTTCAATCATGCAAGAACATAAAAGTTTCACAGATAGGACTATGAAAAAAACAAAAAAAAAAAGGCAAATAGGGCGTTGTCCTTGTTGGAATTTGTGAAATAAAGCTTGTAAGTAAAGTTTAGGGGTTGTTCTCTTCGTATTTCAATTTTGTAGTTTTAAGTTTTGAATTCATTTTGAGTTTTGTGTTTTGAGTGCCTATTTTGAAATTATTGAAAATGCGTTCTTTTTGCCATTTTGGAACCATTTTCCGTATTTTCAATTTTTTCCAATTTTGTACTGAAAACGCCTAAAACAACAAAAATGTCGTTTTGTGTTTTCTTCACAAATTTTTTTTCGTTTTCGAAAACAGGAAAGAGAACGCATTTTCACCATTTTGAAATATTGAAAACAGAAAACAGCTCGAAAACGGCAAAAAGAACACACTCTTAATACTTCTGACTTTTACCTCTATTGGGTCAGTATTCACATTTGACATAACCACTATTTGGGGAAATTAGAGTATTGAATAATAATTTTGACATAACCACTATTTGGGAAAATTAGAGTTTTGAATAATAATTTTTAGAAGAATATCTGGTTAAATATTAGGAAATGATTTTGAATTGACGTGCAGAATATTTTATTGTGTGAATGCGTTGTTGGAAATGAGTTTAAAAATAATGTTTATCAAATAGGGGCTTAATCCATTTTGAACTCTTCATTTTTTTATTTTATTTTTTTGGATTAGCAAGAATTGCCGAATGTCGTTGGATTGTTACGGTAATAACAAGGACTGTATCAATGTTTGTTCTGTAATTTTTTTATTATTATTATATTTTTTTTGGCTTGGCAATAAAATGAAATTTAACTTATAGCAGAATTTAGGGACATTGAATTGGCATTTTGTTCATCGATTCGTTGAATTTGTGAAATTAGGGTTTTTAATAATCAATTGGGGATTCAAGTTCTTAATGATTTCATTTCAATTCATTTCAATACAATAATTCTAAAATTGTGTATTTACATTTCAGTTGCGTATTTATTTCATTAGATTAGTGAAATTTTGAATTTAGGGTTTCCAATTTTGAAATTAGGGTTTTCTTTGCAATTAGGGTTTCGAATTGGGGATTTCTCCTGAAATTAGGGTTTTCATATTTAAACCAAATTTTCATTCAATTAAATTCGGTTAAGGTCACATTAGTTTAATTAGAGCTAATTTAATCCTCGTGGGAACGATACTTGGACTCATAGTCCACTTTACTACTTGTTAACGAACCGTACACTTGCGGTGGGTTTTAAAATCGAGTAGAAATAATTTTGCGAACAGGATTAAACTAAGCTAGTGGTTTATTTGGGGGCATAAACATCTAAGCCACAATTGTTTTTTCTACTGATGGAATTTATTTCATAAATTAAAGAAATTTTTTCACTTTATATCACTTATTGACAGTCAACTTAATCTTCTCTTTAATTTAATAAAAAGTTAGATACAATATTAAGTGCGCATGGAATGCTCGACAATCGAAGACAAATCTATGAATTTAGTTAGAGGGTCTGAAACGGTGATAATTTTATTGGTGCTAGCATGTCGAGATACCACATGACATGCTTCATTTTTTCTATAGTAGGACACTTAGATGATACTTCTACATTTCATCAATTGCAAAATCAATTCAAAATGCCAACAAAAGGATTGCAAGGCAGCAAAAATAATATTAAGTGACAAGACAACAAACAATTAATTAATGAGCAGACAAGACAAGAAAATTCAATTATTTTATTTTATATAAATTATTATTAATACACCAAAAAGAATAGGGACGGCAAGCATAGCACTTGCTAAATGCTATGTATCAATGTGTAATATAGGAACAGCAATTGACAATATAGTATCGAGCAACTAGCAATTAGAAACACAATTAATATGATGATCTTTATACTGACTGTCTACAATTTCAATGAGTTGGGGTTACAAGAACATTCATTGATATGATAAATGTCGAAATGCGCATAGAAATAGAAAACTAATCGAAAAAAATTTGAAATTTTAGAAAATAAAAACAAAATTAGGCATAATTTAAAGAAAAAATGTAGTTATATTATGTGAACAGAAATACAATATGGGAAGTGTTAGTCCTAAGTTGCATGATTGCATATGCCAGGATATTTTAATTTTAAAAATAGATTAGACAATTAATTAATGAGCAGACAAGACAAGAAAATTCAATTATTTTATTTTATATAAATTATTATTAATACACCAAAAAGAATAGTTACGGCAAGCATAGCACTTGCTAAATGCTATGTATCAATGTGTAATATAGCAACAGCAATTGACAATATAGTATCGAGCAACTAGCAATCAGAAACACGATTGATATGATGATCTTTATACTGACTATCTACAATTTCAATGAATTGGGGTTACAAGAACATTCATTGATATGATAAATGTCGAAATGCGAATAGAAATGGAAACTATTGGAAAAAAATTTGAAATTTTAGAAAATAAAAACAAAATTAGGCATAATGTAAAGAAAAAATGTAGTTATATTATGTGAACAGAAATACAATATGGGAAGTGTTAGTCCTAGGTTGCATGATTGCATATGCCAGGATATTTTAATTTTAAAAATCGATTAATAAACTCATTTTGTCCTTTTATTGGCCGGTGGATCCAAGTCAAGGTCAATTATAATTTTATGTAACAAATATAAACGTGCATGTATGTATAATTCAGTCAAGTTCAACGCCAACTTGCTCAGAAAAGCAGTCCCACAAAAAGAACAAATTGGATTAGGTAAAGCTTTCTTTAATATTTAGCTATACCCAGTGCAATAATTTGTTGACAAACAGAAGAAAGTGCATATTGAATCGTACTAGCTAGCTACAATTTCTAACATATTGGCACATTATACCATTAGTTTACGGGTTCGAGGATAAAGTTACTTTGTCAAAAGGATTTGATAGAAAATTTCACATAATTGTATGTGACAGTAGATGATTAGATAAAAAAGGTTATTGTATTTTAACAATCCAATGATAGAATGTTACATAGTATTATGTTAAGTTTTATGTCAATATTGATGTTCATGCAGCATGATTGTTGTAAATGGCTTACATCATCAAAAATTTGTCACCATAGACGTATGCTTTAATGGTCCTCCACGCCTGCTTCCCTTGTACTTCTTGGATGATTTGGTAATGTCAATTACACTAATCCTCATTGCGTGATCATATTAATTTGCAATTTGCACCACTTTTCTTCCTTTATTTATATATATATTTTTTTAACTTATTGAAGTAGGTCAAATAATTTCGCAATCTGTCTTGAAGCCGAGAGATAAACTAAGTCGAACTCACAAGACTCGAGCTCCAATATTTAATAAAATTGATAATTATCTCAACTAAATGGTTAATGAATGCCCTTTTTTGCAAGTACATGATCTAAATCTATTTCGTTCAAATTAAAAAAAAAAAGCATCGAGATCAATCTTATAATCAAGATCTCACTTATTGGCACCTCAAAGAACTTGAGTTAGCAATTAAAAGAACATTATGTGATCAAGATTCAGGTGACTCATTCTATGATCAATTAAAATTTTTATTTCAAACGAACACAAATATTCATCTACACAGTCTCGTTCAATACGCACTAAGTAAATCGTTGTTCTTAGGATTTTGCTGAATGTACGACATTTGCTATACAGCAGCATTTACAGCCCTCACCCAAGGATAGGGTTCGCGATTATTTTAATCGTGGACTCCACTCGATGCATGCGTGTGTGTGTGTGAACAATGCTGTACACATAGCATGTTCCTTGTTCTTATTCTCTATATCATAGACAAACTACTTATCAATAGATTATTCTACATGTACACCAAGGTGCAATGTCCAAGTGGCATTTCATCGTTGGCGGGTAGAAAAATCATTATGTATACGATTGATATATTTTTAATCAAATTTCAAATTGTAACTTAATATACTCGCCCATCAAGCATACAATTTATAACATTTCATGAAACATTAAACCAACATATACAATGTCGTTTATCTGGCCTCTTTATTTCCAACCCATTTCCATACAATGTTTTAGAGCTTCAGAAGAAAGATGATTATGATCTCGTGTCATTATCCAATGGTTGTTTTCTCAAATTTATAATTTTCTCAATTCTGATTTCCCTCTCATCAGGCAGCAACCAAAAATAAATAAGTAAAATTTGTTATAAAATAACGAGAACTATTCATTACAAATTAAGCTCCCGTTTGGTCCCCATTAATTTTCATTTCATTACATTTCCATTTTTCTCTTATATTTTCAATCACGTGATTTTTTATAAAATAGTATTACACATAAATAAAAAAATTCATTCTTTTTCAATTACTCATTTTTCAAAAAATTATTATTCCAACTATTTTCATTCCGGCTAATTTAGCATAATATTGTCGTACTCAAAGACAGCTGGATCATATTTCAATAATTGATGCCCTAAATCTTTTCCCTCTCCACTCTCTATTCCTATTGGCTGCTTGATTCAAGTCAATGTCAATGCCAATTCTAATTATCCAGTAACATTATGAATTTGAACATCACCGTTCACACAAGAAAAATTAAAAAATTAATGACAGCCCATCAAAGACATTGGACAAATGCACGACTGTTAAGGCTATTTATTGAGAATAGAGGCGGGCGGAGAAATCCAACTTTGCTTGAGGCTGCTGCGTCAACGATTCGAATCCTCAAATATGGATTTGGCTCTTGGGTAAGTGTAAGTATACAAGCAGCCTTCCACCCTGTACCCTTGGAGGCATAACCGGCGATTTACCTCTCTCACGATGTTCCAGGACAGGGGCAGTGGGGGACCATTAAGGTTGGGGTTCAGCTTTTTTTTTTTTATTGAGAATAAATTAATTTCAGTGTTCAGACTTCAGAATGTTATTATTATTAAATTTTTTTTTTCCCACCAATGGAGACTGACGGACGGACGATGGATTTGCATATAAAAAAAGCAGCGAGTTTCACATCTTTGTGCGTGTCTGAAAGTTCTGCATTGCCAAGTTTGAAGGTAAGAACAGAAATTACTATTGTAACCAACTTTCAATAATTTTTTTTTTAATTAATAATTGGGAACAAAGTATCTGCTTCAGGATTTACTCTGTTTTAAATTTTCCATGTGGGTTTTGAAGTTTTTTTCCTTTTGATTAATGCTCTGCAGGAAGCGAGGGTGATTCGTTTAATTCAGAAATGGCGGTTTTTGTACGAGTTATGGGTAATTAGTTGATGTTTTACTGTGCTTATTTATGCATTCGTTCGAATCGAATTGAATTATTGATGGATTTAGATGGTGGAATGTTTTGTTTGCTGTGTAATGACAGTTTTGCTATGGGCTGATATATTGGTTTGGTACACAATGTTTGTGATGCAAACATACTTGACAAATGTATGGAAACTGAGTTTTACTCATGCTGCTGGAATTTTGAACATTTGGAATGGTGTTACTATGGTATTGCCTGTCGGGTTTCTCCACCTCGTTGACGCAGTTATGGGAAAATACTTAATGCTCCTGCTGTCCAGTATAGCCTACAGTGTGGTTAGTTAGTTCCTCTATCTTCTCAACTTTGTTGGTTCAATCCTATCGTCCAATCTATTTGGGGATATTGGAGGTAATTTTTGAGTCAACATAGAACTTAAGAGATTAATACTTTTGGAATCTTGAGCTTAGTAGCCTGTTCTTTATTTCTCTTGTATTGTTATTTTGGTCACAATTTCAGGAACAGAGATATAAGTTTGTTCAAGTTTTGTGGTTGGGAGCATGTTGTTCTAGCCTTGGGATGAACTTAAAAAAATGGGTTTTCCTTGGTTAGATTTCTAGACTTCAATATCCATGTAATAACTAATTAGTGACGGAGAAATCGAAAGAGATGGGAAATATTACATTTATGCTTCTTCGAGCTGTGATATACATAAACTGCAATCATGTTCGTAGAAATGAAGAATAACTAATGCCTCAGTATACGGGAGATTTAAGTTTTAGAAAATATTGAAGAAAACCCTTTATCTAGAGAAGGATTTTAGTGGACAGATTACTAACAATGGCCCGCAATTTAACTCTTTTATGCTCCAAACATTAAATTGCTTGATCCACGCCGAGTTATCAAGAAAAAAAAAAAAAAGTTTCTGCAACAGTGGATGCTTAGGTTGAGTAATTTCCATGTGTGCCTGAAGTGAAGTTCTCTAGTTTGCTGAACTCCCAACTTTTTTCCAGGGTATGGGGTTTCTTTCCATGTCAACGCCGCCAGTTCTTGCCAGTTCCACTGGCACCTGCAAAGACTATGAGCCAAAATGTATAGGTGACACACAAAAAGCTTTGTTCTACACGGCCTTGGCATTGTTAGCTGTAGGAATATCTGGTCACCTCGTCTCTCTGAAACCTTTCCTTAAAGAACAGCGAATGAACTCTGACGATGATGGTAGCTGTAAAGCTTTTTTCCGGATATTAGGCATGATTACGGTGGCAATTGTGGCAATAATTGGAGCTATTGCTCTGCCTTACATAAAACCATGGTCAATCCGCTTTGGAATTCCGGCAATCTGTACTGCTTTTGCGACACTTCTATTCTTGAGCGGCCCGTGTTCGTGTAAGCCTGAACCACAGGGGAGTCCATTGACAATTGTTTGCAGAGTCTTTGTGGCCTCTTTTTCTAAGATATCCGTGCCATTTCCTCTTGATAGGAGAGATGGCCATGAGCTTCAGTCATTTTCTCGTACTCGTATTCTCAGGTTTTTTACTTGTCTATTTCCATGCATTAGGTGCAGTTGAAATAAAAAAATTTGCTTCTAGTGGGAAGCGTTAGAAGAACTAGTTAACCTTCTCTTTACCTAAGTTGATCTTATTCTCTCATTTGTTTTTAACACAGGTGCTTAGAGAAGGCTGCCATCATACTGCCGGATAGAAGTCCAGAAGAACAAAAAAACAATAGGTGGACGCTTTGCACAGTCACAGAAGTAGAAGAGGCAAAAATTGTTGTTCGGATGGTTCCAATGTGGATGACATTCATAGTTTGTGGGGTCGTATCTTCTATAGGAAACACGTACTTCCTAGAACAAGCAAATCACATGGATCGCAAGCTTGGAAAATGGAAAATTCCTCTTGCTATGCTTCTACTGCTGTTTAACTGTGCGAAATCACTCTTTGGCAAATCTTACGCCCTTTTGGCAAGCTGCTTTGGTGGATGTAAAAAGTATGCACCTCCTGTTGGAATTGCGGTGGCTATGGTATTCTCAGTACTGTGTTGCATAACTTCTGCCGGAATAGAAATTCGAAGGCTGAAAGTAATTAGAAGACACGATTTACTCGACAAACCTGGGGACGATATCCCAATGAGTATATTTTGGCTCCTTTTCCAGTTTTTCCTCCTTGCTGGCCTGGACTCGTTTTTGGAAAAGAGCTCGAAAGCTTTCTTTCAGGATCAGGCTCCCGGGTCAATGATAAATTACCTCCAGTACTCGAGTAGTGGAGTATCTGGTCTAGGATTCATGGGGAGTGTGCTTTCGGTTTATGTGGTTGGTAAAATTAGTGAGAAGGGAGGTAGACAAAACTGGTTCCAGAATACGTTGAACAAGAGTCGACTAGATAGATATTACTGGGTGCTTGCAGCCTTGAGTTCTGTAAATCTACTTGTGTTTATTTTAATTGCTTGTATTTACAACTACAAGGAACCAGAATCAGTACAACAAGGAGATGAAAATGGCCCTCTATATGGTCAGCAAGAGGAGCCAGAACCAGAACCAGAACAAGGAGAGTCTGGTCAACCAGAGGATGGGGATGGCGCCCAACGATCTTGTTTCTGTGGTTAGGCTTCTTCTGTAATTGTATGTTTTCCCCTTTTGCAAATTGTATTTGTTGCTTTTGTGTGCACCAAGGCTCCGAAGAGTGTACAATCATTAAATGGAAAATCGTACCAGATGGTTCTGTAATTTCGTTGATGATAATATGGCAGCCATCGTTATAAAACTGTGTGTGATTGTGTGTCTATATTTTAGCCTATAACAGTGGATTGCTAGATGTACAAAAAATGTAGAAAAGATTATCACAAACATTTGTGGATTGAGGTGTAATTGTCCTCGAACGCCGCTTAGCGTGGGGTAAACAAAAGTCGTTTCCAGTGAGAAGGTAAGCTGTTTTCAAATGTGTCCACTCAAGATAGTTTTTTATTGGTAATATCAATCTTGCTACAATGAAGACAATCAATGCCTCAGCAAGTAGATCTGTTATACCCGATTTCTAGATTTGAAATTATTATCATTTCATTTCCTCTTAAAACCATAAATGAGGATGCTATAAATTATTATTTTTTTTGTCATGAAAATATTAACAACTTTCACTTAAAGATTTTAGAAAACTTTTATATTTAATAAAAATATAAGATGATCAAATTAAATGTTAAACTTATTTCACTTCATTTATGAGCATAACTTGTAAAAAAAAAAATTTACACTTAAATGAAAAGAAAATAATAAAATTAAATGTTAACTTTAATTTTCTAAAAGAAATCGATATTTAAATGTATTAGTACTAAGACCGTCTCACAACAAGTAGTCGTCTCGAATTATATTGCCTTCGTCATCTAAAATTGAAGAGGAATAACATGGAATGAGCTAACGCTCAGTAAACAAACTTCATGCATATGGTGAATAATTATAATATGCACATAAATTATTTTAAAGTAAAAGCATTTCTAAATAAATATCTCATTTCTTTCATTTCTCTAAAAATTTAACATTGAAGTCGCGAGCTCACTTGATATATCTTCTAGCCAATTAGAATGCAGTGGACAATTATTATTCAGACCCAGATCGAGTCCTACCGATAGTACCGTAGAAGCGATTAATTGACATTAACATCATCATTGAATATTGAACATTGGTCAAGTGCGCCGATTCTCCCATGCCCCATTTTCTATTCACACATTTCATGACATAGACATACACCTCGTAATAAAAACATTTGGAATATATCTCTTTTAAAGCATTCATCGAGTCATGACATTTGGAAACATTTTATTCATTGAAATTTCATGTATACTTATGGATGCATTGACATACATGAATATATCATGAGAAGCATTATTAACATAAAATGTAATAATGATATATCAAGATCACATCATTAGCAAATTTAGGTAGCACATTCATACATTTAGCCTGTGTCTTGGAGGGCTCCTCCGCAAAAAGGTGACCGTTGGCAACAAATTTATACTATTGCCAGCTAACATTTTTTACCCATCCTCTCACGGGTGGGTCCCAACTGACCACCCAACGATCATAATTGCAATTTTAATCAGGTTGAAAAATCTGTGCCAGACAGCCTCTTAATAATGTAACGTGTGCGTGAAAACAATGGAATGTTTACTTACTTTAAGTCCTAGCAATTTACTTCCAAAATGGTAAATGGAGATGTTCTTAGTCACCACGAAGTCAACGTGCCAAAATCCTAATTCATTATCCGTTATTTAGAAACTTGATAAAATTCACTATTTAAATATGAACTCATAGCATTTCTCTATTAAATTAACTAGTTTCTTATTGTTGTTGTAAAATCCTATTTTCGTAAATAAAAGTGTTAAAATCATACAATTTTAAAGTTAAATTCAACCCTCATTTGATCCCCATTTTTACAAAAAAAATGCATTTTAGACATCGCATCAATGTGGGACCATGTCAATGTTGTATTTTTCTCCTTTGAATTCAAACTGTCTAAAATTACTATTATACCCTTTTGGCCTTATAAGAATTTGTTCACATGCTAACCGCTCAAAAATGGCATAATGAGGAAATTGGAAAGACCAATACACTGTTGAAGTCATATGCTTTGTCGGAAAGTGAATATGCAACTATTCACATGCTAACCATTCAAAAAGGGCACAATGAGGAAATTGGAAAGACCAATACACCATTGAAGTCACATGCTTTGTTAGAAAGTAAATGGTCAACGTTCAAAAAATTAATAAATAATGGGAAACAAACGTAACCTCATCGTTAAAAGACATCATCACTCAAAGTGTTACTAATTAGTTCAATGACCATTAAAATAATAGTTCAATAACTATTAAAATAACAAATCCCTTATAAAACACTATAAAAAAGTAAATATAATTTCCAGTAAAAATTACTTATATGCATACAATCACATAAACCATTATATAGACACACGCTTATAAATACATGTAATAAATATTTAAGGAAAATGGTTCTTGTACATAACAATTTATATAATATTTTACATAATGATGTGTCAAAATGTAAGTGGGAAAGTTATTTGTTTCATGATATTTTGATCCAATTAAATTCCGCCACATCATTTATTGATAAACTATTATGTAAATTATTGTGTACATGTAGCACAATCCAATATTTAAATATACAAACACGTACGCATAACACATATACATACACTTACACCAAGTGGCTATATGTATACGCATATAATAATAATAGTATATTTTATATATTCACATACATCTATGCTCACAGATATATATATATATATATATATATA